TTCTTCTTCTTCTTCTTCTTCTTCTTCTTCTTCTTCTTCTTCTTCTTCTTTTGGTTGGTGATAAAAAGATACATGTATGTGCTATTTAAAAGCCTCTAAAATGTTTTGCTTGTTCCATTTAACTAAGGTATGCATGGTAGTATTGCCCCATTCTATAGACAAAGAAGTCAAACCTACAGTGCCTGAAGTTTTACAGCTTTGTTTCCCATGTACAAAATAGAAGTGATGCTTGGAATAGTCCTTTTCTCATAATTGATCTAAAAAGATGCACAAAACTGAATTACTCTCATATTTTTCTTTTTCTTGTCCCTTCCAAGTGTGGGGAAAGGGAAAAGAACCTCATTCCCCTAAAATATTTTTTAAATCCTAGATCTCTTTTATTTTCAAGTGTTTGGATACTTAAAGAAGATATTTGAAGACTGCTTTTGGAATCGAATAGCATGGATCCCAGCAGTGACTATCATTTCCTCAATCAGATTTTGTGGAGAAGGGTGAAACTCACTTTGGTTTCTGGCGTATTTGAGGGAGTTCTCCAGCATGTGGATCCTAACAAGATTGTTGTCCTGAAGAAAGGTCTCATTTTATTTCTCATTATTTTCTTCCTTTAAGAAATTAATAGTTAAATTTGGGTGAGGACTCTAGGGGCTTCATTAGCAACTGAGAGGGAGGCATTTCTATTCTAGGGAAGAGTTAAGAGAAAGATTAGAATGCTGTTTTCTCTAACGGTAAACATAGCTGCATCTGCGGGTTTGTCCCACTTTTTTTTTTTTTAAGATTATTTATTTGAAAAAAAAAGAAAAAAAAAGATTATTTATTTGACAGAGAGACAGCAAGAGAGGGAATGCAAGCAGGGGGAATGGGAAAAGAGAAGCAGGCTTCCCTCTGCAGGACTTGATTCCAGGGCCCCCAGATCATGACCAGAGCCAAAGGCAGATGCTTAACGACTGAGCCACCCAGGCACCCCTTGTCCCCATTTTTATACTTTTGACATAGTGGAAATTTTTATTGTATAGATTGTTTTTCATTGGGTGCTTCTTTTAAATTTCTTACTATATGCATATTGGGGAGTTAAAAATAACTGCTCTACTGATAGAATTACTTTTGGCTTCAACAGACAAATTCACAAAGACAGCTAGGTGTTATTTTTGTCATGCAAAAGGAAGTCCAGAAGTAGGCTGCTAGGGCAGTGGCTCAAAGATGCCAGGAGGGACCAGGTGTCTTGTGGTTTTTGCCACTTCAGGAATAATGTATTATTCTCACGGTCTCAAGGTAGCCTCTGTACCTCCCAGCTTCAGTTCTGTTCATTATAAGGGCCACAACTCAGGAACAGCCATGTGGAAGAGATGCCTAAGTCAAGGTCTGTGGGAAGGAGCTCAGAATTTCCATGCTTTCTTGGGTGTACCACCTTCCTAGTTCCTACATGTGTTCACCTTTGAGATCCAATATATATTGGATTCAGCTAGAATATTGACTTGCTAGGGTAGTTGTTTACCTGGCATAAATTTCAGGTTCATAATTGAAACATATAAATGACATTTAAGAGATTAGTGTTATTGTTAAGCCATGTTATAAGTTAAAATAGACCTTTGTGGACCAGGGTGGGACTATATCAGACTTTTGAAATAGTAATTCATTCAGTAATCATTTATTGGTAGTTTTGTATCACAGGCACTGTGATAGGTACCAGGGATACAGGTAAGAATAACATGGTCCCTGTCCTTAAAAAAAAAAACCTTAGTCTGGTAAAGAGACAGATAAACAAGTAGAAAGGTATAATGCAGTGTGATATCCTCTCTGATAGAGAGATGCATGAGATGCTATGAAAATACAAAGTATCAGTTAATTTAGATCTGGGAGTGGTAGGGTTAGGATAGTGGGGATGGCATCCCAAAGGTAAGATTTAACTGGATGGGAAAAGAGTGGAAAGTGTTTTAAGCCAGTGGTTCTCAAACTTTATCTGTGTATCAGAATTACCTGGGCACTTGTAAAAACACAGATTGCTGGGCCACCTTCCAAGAGTTTCTGATTCTAAAGGTCTGGGGTGGGGCCTAAGAATTTACATTTTTTTGTTTGTTTGTTTAAAGATTTTATTTATTTATTTGACAGAGAGGGACACAGTGATAGAGGGAACACAAGCAGGGGAGCAGCAGAGGGAGAGGGAGAAGCAGGCTTCCTGCTGAGCAGGGACCCTGAGGTGGGGCTCAATCCCAGGACCCTGGGATCATGACCCAAGCAGAAGGCAGACAGACGCTTAATGACTGAGCCACCCAGGCGCCCCAAGACAGTTTGAGAGAACCATAGTTTTATGTAGAAGTAGCACCATATACAAAAAATGTAGAGACATGAAAACTTGGTTCATTCAGAAAACCTAAGTAAATTTCCTTATGGAGGTGTGGTGAGACTTAAGGCTGGAGAAGTAGGTATGGAACTGATCAGAAGGCCTTAATATATTGTAGCATTTGGACACTTCTGAGAACAATGAGGAGGAATTTGAAATATTTTTTTTTAAGTAGGCTCTAGGCCTAGTAGAGACCTTGACCATGAGATCAAGAGTTGCTTGGTTTACTGACTGAGCCACCAAGACACCCCACGATTTGAAAGATTTTTAAATGGGAGGCATCTAAATTTTCAGACTTGTTGCCTGAAATTTTTAATGCTGTGTTAGTTAGGAACAATGCTTAGCTGCTGGAAACAGATTCATGGCCAATGGCTTAAACAAAGTAGGAGTTTATTCTCATATAAAAGAAGGAAGGCCTCCCAGGGTTGCTGTGAATTGCCCCAGAGCTGGCAGAGATCCAGGATTATCCATCTTTCTGCTCTACCATCTTCATGGCTTCAAACTTCAAGATTATGTGACAGCTGGTAGAAGTTACAGATAGGAGGAAGAGGAAAGAGGGGTAGGAGGGTACTCCCCCCAGCTGAGTCAATCCCCTTAAAGAGATGCCGTGGCAGTCCAAGGAACCACCACGGTGCTAGCCTGAATAAATGGCATTGAGTTGAAAACAATCAAGATATGACACATGCTTGTTCAACAAGGCATTCAGTCTAAATGCAATATTTTGGTATATTTCTCTCTGATCTTTAATTACATAGATTTTATATAGTTGACATAATAAGTTAGGTATATCTTTTTTTTTTTTTGCTTAATATGATAAAAAGCGTTTTCTCATGTTACTTGAAATGCCATTTAATGTCTAAACTTTTTATGTTTTTAATTTTTTTTTCTTTTTTTTTAGGGAGAGAAAGTGCATGTGAGTGGGGTGAGAGGGTGGGGGAGGGGCAGAGGGAAAGAGAATCTTAAGCAGGCTCCATGCTCACTGCAGAGCTGAGGTGGAGCTCTATCCCAGGACCCTGAGATCATGACCTGAGCTGAGGGCAGACATTTAACTGATTGAGCCATCCAGATGCCCCTAACATTGTTGTTGTTGTTGTTGTTGTTGTTGTTTTTTTAAGATTTTATTTTTTTATTTATTTGACAGAGAGATCACAAGCAGGGAGAGAGGCAGGCAGAGAGAGAGGAGGAAGCAGGCTCCCTGCCGAGCAGAGAGCCCGATGCGGGGCTCGATCCCAGGACTCTGAGACCATGACCTGAGCCGAAGGCAGCGGCTTAACCCACTGAGCCACCCAGGCGCCCTGTTGTTGTTGTTTTTAATGCTGATGTGTATCTTTCCTAAAATTTTGCTAGTTTTATAGATAAAAAATGATATTTCATCTTGGTGTGCTTAAAAAATATTCCTAAAGAAGTTGAACATACTTTCTTTACACTTGTTTACTAATTTTATGTACTATTTGAACAAAGCAGGGAGCATTTTGACTATGACAGCAATGTGAAGGAAGGACTGAAGTAGGGAGAACCTAGAGGCAAAGAGCATAGATAGAACTATTTTGACAATCAGGGAAACTAAGGTCAGAACTAAGGCTCAGCAAGGAATGGAAAAAGAGAAGACAGACTTTAGAAATACATAAGAGGTAAGATAAGTAACCTAGTAATCAATTAGATAATTAAAGAGCAACAGAAGTGTGCCTGGGTGGCTCAGTCAGTTAAGCATCCAACTTTTAATTTTGGCTCTAGTCAATCATAAGATTGAGCCCTGAGTTGGGTTCTACACTGAGCATGGAGCCTGCTTAATATTCTTTTTCTCTCCCTCTGCCTCTCCCCAGCCCCACACACATGCTCTTAAATAAATACATAGCAATGAAAAATCATTACTACATTTATGACTCAGAAGATTATGACTCAGAAGAAGATAGGTATATAGTACTGTTATTAATTGATAGAAATGGGAAGAGGAAGTTCATTGGTTACTGGGAGAAGATAATGATTTCAGTTTGAGGATCTGACAGTAAGTCTGGTATTAGTCATTTGGAAATATGGGTGGAGCTAAGAGAAATAATCTGGATGTTGGGGGTCCTGATTGGCTCAGTCCAAAGAACATGTGACTCTTGATCTCAGGGTCATGAGTTTGAGCCCCATATTGGGTGTTGGTATTACTTATATTAAAAAAGAAAGAAAAGAAATAGGGGAGGTCAGGATGTCAGAGGTGGTGGAGACAGTTGAAGAGTTGGGAAGGAGCAAATGAGGGAGACAGTATAGCATTGTTCAGAGTTGCCTATTAAATACCCAAGGCCTGGGTTTGAATCTTGACTCTGTCTTTAATTAGCAGTGTGACCCTGACCAAGTTATTCAACCTTTCTGAGGTGCTCAGTGCTCAGTTTGGTAGCTCTAGGAAGTTAGTAGGAAAAGAACTAAACTTGAAGTATCCTATGAGCCAAAGAAGAAAAGAAAGAACAGTACTGTCAAAGATACATGGGAGCCAAGGGTGATAAGACTATAACTTATAATAGGCAGTTGGGGGGTGGTTGCTGGGTAGCTTAGTTGGTTAAGCATCTACCTTCAGCTCAGGTCATGATCCCAGGGTCCTGGGATCGAATCCCACATTGGGTTCCCTCCTCAGTGTGGAGCCTATTTCTCCCTCTGCCTGCTGCTCCCCTTGCTTGTACGCATGCTCTCTCGCTCTCCCTCTGTCAAATAAATAAAATCATTAAAAAGAAAAAAAGAAAAAAATAGGCAGTTGTGATTTTTTATTAAAGATTTTATTTATTTATTTGTCAGAGAGAGAGAGAGAGCAAGCACAGGCAGAAAGAATGTCAGGCAGAGGCAGAGGGAGAAGCAGGCTCCCTGCCAAGCAAGGAGCCTGATGTGGGACTCGATCCCAGGATGCTGGGATCATGACCTAAGCCGAAGGCAGCCGCTTAACCAGCTGAGTCACCGAGGTATCCCTGAGTTTTGACCTTAGTAAGAATATATTCAGTGGAACAGTGAGGGTGAAAATTATTTTGGATCGCTGAGCAATATGGAAATATGCAGCCGCTGGGAACATTTATACCTAGAGCAATGACATTATATTGTAGATACGACATCTAAACTTCTCCTAACTCTCTTATCTACTCACAGAAGAGCCCTATATTGGGGCCAGGATTTGAATTATTGTCCTTCACAGTATTTTTGAGCATGTATCATGGCATAAAACAGGGTGTGGAATCTAGAAGTAGTCAGCTGCCTTAAAATTTTATCTGGAATTAGGTGGGATAAAAATCAATAGAAATATAATAAATAAACAGTCCTGAGCCTCAGGGCCTTAGAATAGTCTTGGGAGAAGTTTAAGTTCACCATACTGCTCCTGCCCTTTTAATTCCTCTTGGACCATTCTCGGGTTCCCTCTGTTCTTTATCCTACTTGTTTCAAGGCTATAGCTTTGTAATTTATTATTAACTCCTCATTTCTCGGGGAAAATAATTTGAGAATTTTTATAAAACTCAGATATGGCACTTATTAAAAAAAGATTTCTTTATTTTAGAGAGAGAGAGTCAGTGAGTGGAGCAAGAGCCAGAGGAGAGAGAAAGAGAGAGAATCATCAAGCAGACTCTGTACTGAGTGCAGAGCCCAACACACGGCTTGATCCCAGGACCCTAGAATCATGACCTGAGCAGAAACCAAGAGTCGGACACTTAACCGACTGAGTCCCCCCAACACCCCCAGATATGGCACTTTTGAGATGCATATTTTCTTATAATTTGGGGGAAATACTATTTTTTATTAACTGAATGAATCATTTTCTATAACAGTGAAGAATGTGGAGACTGGTCGAAGTGTTCCAGGAGTGAAGATGTTTTTTGGGCATGAGATTCTGAACGGTGAGAGCTGCATGTTCCCTGAATGTGCGTATTGGGATTTGTAGTAGTAGTAAACTCACTCCTCTGCCTCATTCCAGTATTTGCAAAAATATGTTGTATTGCCTTTAATATTGCTCTTAGGAACTCTTAGACTGGATATTTGAGAAATGACCTTTATCTTACTTTTTTGATGGGTACTATGAGCAGAATGGTGGTAGGGAATTTTAATCATCTTGGTTTTACTGTGTGAGGACTGCTGGTGCTCACTACTAAAGAGTCAGCCAGTGGGCAGTTAGGAATCTAAACAGCAAGGAGTGGTCTTGCTTAGCAACTGATTTTAACACTATGGAGTCACAGTACATTCAGTACATTCGCAGTCCCTTATCTGAACCCTGGGGGCCAAATGTCAGAATTCAGAAATCCAGATTTTTAGGAAATGTAACACAGTATCTACTCTTTATATTATAGAACATCTCAAACAGGTCTGGGAAACACTGTAATAAAACACATTTCTATAGGGAAATGTGAGGATAATCACTCTAAATGAAATAAAATAAGACTATAAATAGATGTCAGTTGGGTTTTGTTGCCAAAAGAGGTCCAGACGATTTTTAGTTCTCAGAGATTTTTGGATTTTGGAATTGCAAGATGCAGCTCTGTTCTTCATTTTGGCCAGCAAAAGCCACTTAGCAGAAGTAGGTCCAACTGTTTGCCAGAAAGGGTAGATATGGAAGCTCTTCTGGTCAGTGTGCTTCAGACAAGCCAAATAGGATAAAAGAAAAGGGCAGCAAGAACTGTTCTTACTTTCAAGAACTCAAAGGCAGAAAGCCCTCCAAGGAGGAGTAAAGGTCAGTGTTGCGGGGAGGAGTGGGGAGAGCGGGAGATCTGGGACCATATACAGCTGTTCATTTCTTAACCAATAGGGCAGATATGAGGAAAGGAAAGGACCCTTGTAGACCAGAAACCACTGCTACTTGAAAGATTATTTTGTGAGAGAAGTAAAATTGATAGAGTAATGAAACTCTCACCAAACTAATGACTGCCAATCCAGACTTATTTCAAGGCAGACAGTTCCAGACAGCTATCTAAGGGTTCTTTCTCACAGAGCATGCTACTGTAAACACTCTTTGTCCCTTGAACACCTTTTCTTTTTCTTTTTCTTTTTTTTTAAGATTTTATTTATTTATTTGAGAGAGAAAGCATGAGGGGGGAAGGTCAGAGGGAGAAGCGCAGACTCCTTGCTGAGCAGGGAGCCCCATGGGGTGGGTAGTGCTGGAGCCGGATGTGGGACTCCAGGATCATGACCTGAGCTGAAGGCAGCCATTCAACCAACTGAGCCATCCAGGCACCCCTTTGAACACCTTTTCATAGTAGCTGTGAGGGGTGGTGGTAGTAGTAGGACTCTTACTTTTTTTTTTTTTTTTTTTTTTTTAAGATTTGTAAGCACCTGGGTGGCTCAGTTGTTGAGTGTCTGCCTTCGGCTCTGGTCATGATCCCAGGGTCCTGGGATCTAGCCCTGCATTGGGCTCCCTGCTCAGTGGGAAGCCTTCTTCTTCCTCCCACTTCCCCTGCTTGTGTTCCCTCTCTGGCTGTCTCTTTCTGTCAAATAAAGAAATAAAATCTTAAAAAAATAATAAAGCAAACAAAACCTTTAAAAAAAAAAAAAGTAATCTCCATGTCTGACCTGGGACTTGAACCCACAGCCCCAAGATCCAGAGTCCCATGCTGTACCAACTAAGCCAACCTGGCACTCCCATAGTGGAATTCTTATTGCTTTTTAAAATTAGCCTTTGCACTGGATCAGAGCTAGGCTGTGGTTGGGTTTGTAAAGAGAAGCAAAGGAATCACTGCTACCATCTCCCTAACTTCAGAGAAGGCTAACTGTTTAACTAGCTCGGTGAACTGTAGACATGGATTTCATTTCTTTCTAAATTCTCAAGACTTGGCCTTTGTTCATAATTTTTAGTTCAAAGGACAACCTTCTCCTTCTTTGCCCTGTGGTTCAGTTAGCCATGGATTGAGAATTTTTTCACTCTCCCTGAAAAACACTTTGAATAAGAATTATTAAAATGAGGGCGCCTGGGTGGCTCAGTGGGTTAAGCCACTGCCTTCGGCTCGGGTCATGATCTCAGGGTCCTGGGATCGAGTCCCGCATCGGGCTCTCTGCTCAGCAGGGAGCCTGCTTCCCTCTCTCTCTCTCTGCCTGCCTCTCTGCCTACTTGTGATCTCTGTCTGTCAAATAAATAAATAAAAAATCTTAAAAAAAAAAGAATTATTAAAATGAAGAATAATATTAACTGGAATTTAAATAAAATCTTGAAACAATAATAAATTAAAAAATAAAATGAAGAATAATAATTGACTAAAAATTGAATATTTTTAGTGACTTTTACTTTCTCTGCCCCAGACCCAACACCCTGATAGTGCAGGGGAAAGAGATGTTTTGAAACATAACGGCCCCCGAGTAGATCTTCTCTGAGTACTACCTAAGTATTCTTAATTCAGTCTAAAATGCCATTAATTATAAAATACACTATTACTTTTCACATCGCAAGAAAGGAAAAGTAACTGGCAAGTAAACTGTCATGTGCATTTATTGTAAATCATGTCTGATTACAGAGCTGTTTAAAATGTACATCTTAGAATTAATGATAAACAATATTGTCCTCCATTCCCGGCCCTGTTAGGCTTCAGAATCTGTGGAATGTTTCATATTTAGGGGGGGATTTCTAGTCTAACTTTTATTGCCTTTCATGTCGCTGAACTGTTTCAATTCGCAATAATGGCGCCTCAGATAAATGTCATTGGCCACCGTGCTGCCACTGTGCAAAACTCATGTCACAGAACTGTTAACGCACCAGCCTGTGAGAGTGAAAGAGACCCATCTGGGAAGGATCTGAGAGGAAACCCCCAAACAGTACATGGTGTAAGGGAAATGCAGTATGGTGGGAATGAATAGGAAAGAAAATCTCTCTCTAGAATGAATCTGCTTGACTGCAAGGTACTTTGGAACATGTAGAGATCTTTCTAATCCTGCTGAAAGACCCGAGAAGCTGTGTGGGAACATAGTATTAGGCATCTTCAGTACTTTGGATAGGCTCTTCTGCTCTATTTATTGTTGGCCAGTGAAGGGCTCTATGGACTAACATTTTCATTTCAAGTTAGTGTGTGTAGTACCTAGTCAGACTGTGGTAGAGGGAGAGAGGAGAGTGGTTAACTACATTCAGCTTGGAAACTCTTGTTGGAAGGCATTTGGTTATTTTGCAGTGGAACTGCTGGATGAAGTGGAACAAGGTGCGATGAGAGAAAAGGCATCTTCTGTCAGGTATGGTGGAGTAATTTGAATAATTTTCTTAATTATGATTTTACTCAAATGCATACATTAGGGTAGAAAGGCTTACCTCTAATTCATTAGCTATGCAATTTCTCAAATGGTCTGAGGTAATAGAAGGGAGAAGAAATAGATGGATATTTTCTTCCATCTTTAGATGATATCTTCAAATCAGTGTAAAAGCAGTGGATGAGTGGGTCCTCTATGAAATGGAGGTCTAGCTTCTTTACCATTGATATGTGGCAAAATCTGTATGAGCATCAGCAACAAAGAACAATTTTCATCTTAGTGTTGCTTTTTGTAAGCATAGTCTAAATACAGAAAGAACCAGGATGGATAAAGGTGAAGACCTGAACATATGTGAGTCTCTTTCTCCTGCCTCTGAGCCGCCAACCACCTCTCTGCTGAGTGACCTCAAGTTCAGCCTATCAGGTGAGCACTGGGGCTCTGACTTGTCTAGGGTCTCTATTGTAGTCCACAACTCTTTGGAGTTGGCATAACTCTGAGTTAAGGTTCTATATGTGCAGTCTCTGCCCTCACTGAGCTCCAGTGCAAGAAACAGACACTAAATAAGATAAAGGAGTATCACATACAGCATGCTAGCACCAAATGCTAAGGGGAAAAAAATGGAAGAGAAGTGTGTGAAGAGGGTGGTTTTACAATGTTAGGGTGTTCAGGACAGGCCTCACAAAAATGGTGACATTTGAGCCAAAGCCTATAGGAGATGAGGGCTTGAGCTGTGTGGATATGTGGGGGAAATGTTCTTTAGGCAGATAAAAGAATTAATATAAAGGCCCTGAGATAGGAACATGCCAGGGTCTTGAAGGAATAGCTAGATCAGTGTGATCAGTGTAGATGGAGCAAAGAGAAGAGGTAGTTGGAGAAGAAATGACATAGGCATTTCATGGAGGTCATTGTAGATGTTCAATACTAGACTGTTTACTGTTTCTTTTGGGTTTTTTTAGACTGTTTTTGCTTACTGTTGATTTATGATAGACTTTAAAATCTGGTAGTGTTAGTTCTCCAACTTTGTTCTTTTTCAGCGTTGTTTTGGTTATTCTTTGTTCTTTGCATTTCCCTATGAATTTTAGAATCAGGTTGCCAATTTCTGAAAAAAAATCCACTTGTATTTTTACTGGGATTGCGATGAGTCGATAGATCGGTTTGGGGAACGTTGGCATCTTAACAATATTGAGTATTCCAATCTGTTAATGCAGTATATCCCTCTATGAGATCTTTAATTTCTTTTCTTTTTTTTTTTTAAAGATTTTATTTATTTATTTGTCAGAGAGAGTGAGCACAGGCAGACAGAGTGGCAGGCAGAGGCAGAGGGAGAAGCAGGCTCCCTGCTGAGCAAGGAGCCCGATGTGGGACTTGATCCCAGGACCCTGGGACTGTGACCCGAGCCGAAGGCAGCCACCCAACCAGCTGAGCCACCCAGGCTTCCCGAGATCTTTAATTTCTCAACAGTGTTTTGCAGTTCTTGGTGTATAAGTCTTATACATATTTTGCTATGTTTATCCCTAAGTATTTCATATTTTATACTGTTATCAATGGTATTTTAAAGAATACTTCTACTTCCTATTGGATAGTTTTGAGCAGAAGGGTAACATTAACTGACTTCTGTTTTAACAAAGTTAGTCTAGATACTGTATGGATACTGAGAGAAGGAGAAAGGTAAAAGCATGAATACCTATTAGGCTATTGAAATAATTTTAAGGTGAGCTGATATGGTGGCTTGGACCATAGTGGTAGCAGTACAGTTGGTAAAAAGTGGTGGACTTCTGAACGTATGTTGGGGTGTAGCCAGCCCAGTCTACTGGTGTATTAGATGTGCATGTGAAAGGGGAGAATCGGGGCACCTGGGTGGCTCAGTGGGTTAAAGCCTCTGCCTTCGGCTTAGGTCATGATCCCAGAGTCTTGGGATCGATTACCCGCATCAGGCTCTCTGCTCAGCGTGGAGCCTGCTTCCTCCTCTCTCTCTTCCTGCCTCTCTTCCTACTTGTGATTCTGTCTCAAATAAATAAACAAAATCTTAAAGAAAAAAAATAAAAAAGAAAGAGGAGAATCATGGTGATTTCAGGGGTTTGGGTGTAAGTAGCCTGAAGTATGGAGTGCAATTCAGCTGGCATGGGAACAGTTCTGAGTGGAACACGTTTTGGGAAGATGATTAAGACTTTAGGTCCTCCGAAGTTTGAATGTCAGCCTAGAGAGGAGGAGATAGGTCTGAGATGGAGATAAAAATGTAAGAGTTAGCTGATGGAGTTTTACAGCCTTGAGACTAGATGAGATTACCAGGAGAGTGAGTATAGGTAGAGAAAAAGAGGTATGTGGACTGTGGCCTATGCCACGCCTAAGTTTTAGAGGTTGGAGATGAAGAGAAACTATATGTTATGCTATACCTCTAATCTTTTAAATTACATGATTTAAAACCATAATTAAGGACCCAGAGAATTCCAAAAATGTGGACTATGGCCCATCTCCGGGATTGATTTACTTATTTATTTTAAGATTTTATTTATTTATTTGACAGAGAGAGAGAGAGAGAGAGAGAGTGCATAAGCATGGGGAGTAGCAGGCATGGGGAGAGGGAAAAGCAGGGCTCCTGGCTGAGGAGGGAGTTGATTTGGGACTCAATCCCAGGACCCCAGGATCATGACCTGAGCCGAAGGCAGACGTTTAACCAAGTGAGCCACCCAAGCACCCCGGACTGATTTATTTTAAACTATTATTTTTTATTATGAACATCCTTTGAAAAGTAAGTGTCTTGAAATATTTAAGACATAAGTCTATGAGGAGGGAAACATTATTGGATTTTCACAGGAAATGATTAAATAGTTTAATTCATAAGATTATCATTGGTAGGGCTTTTATTCATTCTCATTTGAGAAACAGGATGCTGGAGTGTTCACTGTGTGTTGGGCTGACACAGGTGATAGTGAAATAACATTAGACAAAGTTGCAATAGCGGAGAAATTTATGAGGATGGCTAAAATGAGTGGGAGGGCTATTCTATTGCCAAAGAAGACACATATGTCTATTACCATCATTCTCCTGCAGAGGAAGAGGAGGTAACATACACAGTCATTGATCAGTTCCAGCAGAAGTTTGGTGCTGCAGTAAGTATTGTCCTTGATCATTCCAAGTATTGTCTGCATATGGGTATCATGTTTATATCTCATAAATTTCTCTCTTATTGTAAGACCATTGATGCTTTCCCTAATAAATTCCCAATAAAATATCTGAGGACCTGATAAATGTTAGGTATTGTTCTGAAGTCTAGGATAAAATAATAGTAAAGGCAAAGTTCTTTTTTTTTTAAAGATTTTGTTTACTTATTTGACAGAGAGAGAAATCACAAGTAGGCAGAGAGGCAGGCAGAGAGAAGGGGAAGCAGGCTCCCTGCGGAGCAGAGAGCCCAATGTGGGGCTCAATCCCAGGACCCTGAGATCATGACCTGAGCCGAAGGCAGAGGCTTAACCCACTGAGCCACCCAGGAAGTTCTGACCACCAATGTAAACACTTCCCCCGGCCCCCAAGATTGATTGATTGATTGATTGATTGATTGATTTAAGTATTCACTACACCCATTGTGGGGTATGAATTCACAACCCCGAGATCAAGAATTGCATGCTCTTCTGACTGAGCCAGCCAGGCACCTGAAGGGGTTTACATTTTATTGCAAGAAAATAAACAAACAGTTGTCTATTAACTGATGATAAGTGCTACGAAGAAAAATAAATTGTGGTTTGAAAAGTAAAGTAACAAGGAGCTCCTATTTTATGTAGGGTGGACAGAGAAAACCTCTGTGAAGAAGTAACATTGGAATAGCCATTTGAAAGAAGTAATAGAGCTAACCATATAGATATTCAGCTAAGGAAATTTTGAAAAGCGTGAATAGCAAGTGCAAAGGCCCTGAGGCTGAAGCACACTTAACTTGTATGGAGGAACAGCAGGGAGGCAGGACTACAGTGAAGAATGATAGGAAATGGAAGTGGTCAGGAGGCAGAGCAGGTAGGGTTTTTTGGACATTACAAGGAGTTTGAGTTTAACCTGAGTAGGTTGGAAAGCCATTGGCAGTTTTAGAGGAGAGTCAGAAATTTTTTTACTTACATTTTTAGAAGTCCATTCTACATGCTCTGTTTAGGCAATTTCTCTATAGTCATTTATGAATTTCAGATGTGACAGTAACTCTTCAGCCTAGGATACAGTTCACAGATGGATTTCACAGGAGTCATTAAGCTTTGTAGATACGAGTTTATGCTTGTGTATGCACAGGTGAATTTCTTTAAGGGAGAGTTAGCTTTCCACAGATTCTTTTTTCTCTAACCACTTAAGAGAGATGTAGTCCATATAACATTAAATTCACCAATTTAAAATGTAGGGTTCACTGGATTTTAGCATATTCACAGAACTGTACATCCATCACAATCAATTTTTCTTTCCTTTTTTTTTTTAAAGATTTTTAAAAATTTATTTGATAGAGATCACAAGTAGGCAGAGAGAGAGGGGGAAGCAGGCTCCCCGCAGAGCAGAGAGCCCGATGTGGGGCTTGATCCCAGGATCCTGGGATCATGACCTGAGCCGAAGGCAGAGGCTTTAACCCACTGAGCCACCCAGGCGCCCCTGGATATACCATAATTCATTTATCCTTTCACCTTTTGGGTTCTTTCTACTTTTTGGCTTTTATGAATAAGGCTGCTATGAACATTCATGTACAAGTTTTTGTTAGCACATGTGTTTCCATTTCTCTGGGATAGATGCTTAGAAGTGGAATTGCTGGATCATATAATAACTCTATGTTTCACATTTTAAGGATTGGCCATTGTTTTCCAAAGCTGCTACTCCATTTTACATCCCCACTAGCAAGATATAAGGATTCCGATTTCTCCATATTCTAACACTGTTGTCATCTGTCATTTTAATTATAGCCATCTTCGTAGTGTGAAGTGGTATCTCATTGTGGTTTTTATTTACATTTCCCTGATGGCTAATAATATTGAACATTTTCATGTGTTTTTGGATGTTTATATATCTTCTTTGGAGAAATATCTATTCCTTTGCCCATTTTTGAGTAGGCTTTACTCCCAGTGTGGGCCTTCAACTCACAACCATGAGATAAAGAGTCACATGCTTTACCAACTGAGCCAGGCAGGTGCTCCTCCTTTGCCTACCCCACCCTGCAACAACATGAGGCTTGAACTCGACCCTGAGATCAAGACCTGAGGTGAGATCAAGAGTCAAACACTTGATCAGGTGAACCACCCAGGTGCTCCCTTTGTCCACTTTTTAATTGTGTTGTAAGAATTCTTTATATATCAACAGATTCTTGAAAGGGTCCAATGACAGCAACAAAAAATGAGATAAGAAACTGGAAATTTGAAGAGGTAGTTGGAAATTCTTGTCAACAAAGAAATGCAGGTTTTATTCCCAGTTCCACAGCCTTCTTGCTGTTGGTTGAGGGTGGAATTGAAATTCAGTCCCGTTTTTTTCATCATCGATGGAAAATACTCAATGTAGAAACCCTCTATGCTCACTAAAGGAAGATATTGTGCTAGTGAAAGTTACCATGCCCTTCTTTCTTGAGTTATTTACCTACCTGTAAGATGGAGAGACTCTTGTATTATGTAGATATTTTAACAGATTATGGGTTAAGGGTTTTAGAATTGTATAATGTTTTGAAATAGGATAAGATTATAGATAATCAAAGGGTCAGCATGTGTTCCTGGAATAGCACTATATCAGTTTTGAGTAACTTAATGAGTCTAAGACTTTAAGGGACCTGTTGAGTTCTTATTTCTCTCATTCTAAACAGTATATACTGTGAGACTCAGCCACTACATGAGTTCCTTTCAGGTACAGTAAATTGTTCTGTGTTAGGGCACTGTTGCTTACATGAGGAATCTGGTCATAAAGAGAAATCTTTTGTTGTAGCATTAGCGGTAACACAAGGTATCTGAGTTTTCAACTCTTATCAGCATTTAGGATATGAATGATTTATTTTCCAGTTGTGTTATAACTTTACAAAAACTGAAAAGAAATCAGAAATATTCAGGGGCACCTGTGTGGTTCAGTGGCCCAAGCCTCTGCCTTTGGCTCAGGTCATGATCTCAGGGTCCTGGGATCGAGCCCTTCGTTGGACTCTGCTCAGCGGGGAGACTGCTTCCCCCTCTCTGCCTGCCTCTCTGCCGACTTGTGATCTCTGTCAAATAAATAAAATCTTTAATAAACAAACAAACAAAAAAGAAATTAGAAATATTTGGTGTGCTGTGTGTGTGTGTGTGTGTGTGAAAAAGAGAAGCTGACTTGTGTTTTGGATTAGTCGAGTTTTGTAAGTTTAAAGCATACTATCCACTTTGTTAATTGCTAGCCTTTTACTTGTGCCATCCATGATGTCATAATCACAACATTTATTTTCTGGAGATCTTCTTCCTTTTTCTCTCCAGATGCTCCACATCAAGAAGCAGAGTGTCCTGAGTGTGGCAGCAGAAGGTGCTAATGTGTGTCGTCATGGGAAACTATGTTGGCTTCAGGTCAAAGATATTTTCAACTTTTTATTTTGAAATAATTGTAGATTCACTGGCAAATTGATTTTAATTGTCTTCTTTATGTCACCTCAATGTCACTATCCTATAACCTGTTTGGATTTTTTTTTCACTTTTCTAGTATTGAGTTTTTTCCTTTCAAAAGGAAAGAGCTTTTGCCTCTTCATGGGTTCACTTTTATAATTATCACTGCTGTGTCACAGGCTCTGCTTGAGGTCTTCTTTCCCAGCTCTTTTCTCCCACCTTAGAAATATGAAGAATTTCAGGGGCAGCCAGCTAGCTCAGTCAGTGGAGTGTGCCATTCTTGATCTCGGGGTTGTGGTTCAAGTCCCATGTTGGATGTAGAATTTACTTAAAAAAATAAAATCTTTAATTTGTCTAAGTAAACTCTATACCAGTGTGGGGCTTGAACTCACAACCCCGAGATCTAGAGTTGCATGCTCTACTGACTGCCCGGCATCCCCAAATTAAAATCTTAATATATGAAGTTTTTTTAAAAAAAGATTTTAGTTATTCATTTGACAGAGCGAGTGAGAGAGAAAGCACAAGCAGGGGGAGCAGCAGGCAGAAGCAGAGGGAGAAACAGCCTCCCTGCTGAGCAGAGAACCTGATGTGCAGCTGAATACCAGGACCCTGGGATCATGACCTGAGCCTAAGGCAGATGCTTAACCAACTGAGCCTCCCAGTCACCCTAAAGATTTTTTTTATGTGCAGATTTTTTTTAGAAGATTTTATTTATTTACTTGACAGAGAGAGAGAGAGATCACAAGTAGGCAGAGATGAGAGAGGGGGAGGCAGGCTTCCTGCTGAGCAGAGAGCATGATGCAGGGCTTGATCCCAGGACCCTGGGATCATCACCTGAGCTGAAGGTAGAGGCTTAATCCATTGAGCCACCCATGCCCCGCTATGTGCAAAATATTTATCTTTCCTTCTGGTTGGTAGCGTTCCACAACAGGATTCTTCCACATCATTTTCATTTTCCTAGGCCTGGGAGACGTCACGTGAAGGTCCCCATTGTGTCAAAAGTTTGTAGTGAGCCTTGAATAGCTGTAGGCTGGACAGCCACCTTCGGATCAAACTCAGCAGCATTAGTTTTTAAAAGAATTTTTTAAAAAGATTTTATTTATTTATTTGAGAGAGAGAGAGAAAGAGAGAGCATGAGAGGGGAGAAGGTCAGAGGGAGAAGCAGACTCCCTGTGGAGCTGGGAGCCTGATGCAGAACTTGATTCCAGGACTCCAGGATCATGACCTGAGCCGAAGGCAGTTGCCCAATCAGTGAGCCACCCAGGCACCCAACAGCAGCATCAGTTTTTAAAGAAGGCCAAAGAAGGCAGGCTGAATCCCCAACCAAGGTCTTCTATTCTTTGAGTCAGGACTTACCTCCACCTATTGAGAGAATGTATTTTGTTAGGATTGGCAGTCTGCCCACTTCTCAGGGGTACATCAAGGAGTCTACCCTAAATAATTCAAAATATGAAAAAGAATATGTGAGAACCTAGTGATCTTAGCATCATTTTCTGGTGAAAAATCAGAAACCATTTAAGTAGGTAACAGTAGGAGACATTACTGTAGATTTGATAGATCTTATGCAGCTGTCAAAAATTGATGACTAGTGCAACGTAGAAAAAAGGTTTTTTTGCAAAGTTATGAGTGGAAGAAAGCAGGATATAGATTGGAATGCATACTATCAGAGCCTTATACATTGTTTGCATATGAAAAATGGAAGGGAGCATTGTATGGCATGCATTGGCTCACTGAAGAAGTGTCTGAGCCATCCATGGCTTGGTTCTGCTCTAGGTGGTGCATGTACAGTGGTGAATCTGGCATAATCTCTCCTCTCACAGAGTTTGCAGTCTAATAGAGAATTATTTTTCAAAATTTTCTAATGTGTCTATTAAAAAGAGCAAGGAGTGACTCTTTTAAGTGTCCTGTTCTTGCAAACAACACGAAAGTTCTGAGAACGGATGTCAGGTCTGGCAATTGCAGCTATATCAACACTTGCTCCTGAAATGACAAAGATGACATCACGCTGCCCTGTTGCTGGCTCTCTAGACCTGTTAGGATCTCCCTTTGCCTTCATTCCCTGACTCAGTAGATGATCCAGCTATAATACTACCTTGGTGAATTTTATGATCAGAAACAGTCTAAAATCCTTATGATTGTATAAAATTGAACTAAAAAATGGTGTCTCACATCCTACCATTTGTGCCAGTTTATTTGTTGCCTATATAAAACTGCTAGAGAGAGGCTCCTGGGTGGCTCAGTCGGTTAGCGACTGCCTTTGGCTCATGTCATGATCCCAGGGTCCTGGGATTGAGCCTCAAGTCGGGCTCCCTGCTCCACAGGGGAGTCTGCTTCTCCCTCTCCCCGTGTTCATGCTCTCTTTTTCTCTTTTGGATAAACAAACAAACAAACAAACAAACATACAAAAAAACTGCCAGAGAGCCAGGATCTTCTCTTCTGAATAACTTTATGTAACACCTAAAGCAACCATGCATATCATGAGACTCAGAGAAATAGCATGCTGTGTTGCTAACAACAAAATGCTCTTCATTCCTCTTAAACCTATAGTCCTTGGAGTATTAAGATGCCATGGGTAAGCTATAAAACATTAAATTGGGGAGTGTAAAAAGCAAAAGACTAAGTCCACCAGCTTGTCTCTTTCTGCCCTTTTGAAAAATCACAGTGAGGGGCATATGGGTGGCTCAATTGATTAAACGTTTGACTCTTGATTTCAGCTCAGGTCATGATCTTGGGGTTGTGGGATTGAGCCCTGTGTCAGGCTCTGTACTTGGCATGGAGTCTGCTTGAGATTCTCTCTCTCCCTCTCCCCCTCCTCCTGCTCATGCTCTTTCTCTCTCTCTCAAGATCACAAATGGTAGTTTCTTTGCTTTACTTAAGGTCAATTTGAACTTGTTTTCCCTGAGAATCACTGAATGCCTGTTGTTTTCTTTAAAAGTGAGGATGTGAAATATTTTATCACATATCTTTCTTGACCGCAGATCCCCTTCCTTAGTTCCTTTTTACCCTATAATACGTGTGTCTGGATGGTCTATTGCAGGTGGCCACAAATAGCCGAGTTTACTTATTTGATATTTTCCTTCTGGGAAGTCGTGCTTTCAACAATGGACTTCAGATGGTATTAGAAGACAAGAGAATTTTGAAGGTGAGTGTGTAAGCTGATTTCCTCGATAGTAAGATTAGCAACCAGGTTCTAATTACTCTCTCTGTCTTCTGATTCCTTAGGTTATCCACGATTGTCGTTGGCTTTCTGATTGCCTCTCTCATCAGTATGGAATTTTGCTGAATAATGTCTTTGACACACAGGTACAAGCAGGGAAACCATGATTCAGTCCAGGGTATATAGCTCTTTTTTTTTTTTTTTTTTTTTAAAGATTTTATTTATTTATTTATTTGACAGAGAGAGATCACAAGCAGGCAGAGAGGCAGGCAGAGAGAGAGGAGGAAGCAGGCTCCCCGCCGAGCAGAGAGCCCGATGCGGGGCTCGATCCCAGGACCCCGAGATCATGACCTGAGCTGAAGGCAGTGGCTTAACCCACTGAGCCACCCAGGCGCCCCCAGGGTATATAGCTCTTATAGAAAGCCTTTGTGTGTGTGTGTGTGTGTGTGTGTGCCTTATTCCTGCATTCTTCTCCATGTAAGATGTCTATGCAATAGGTGACAATATTTGGTGAACTATAAAAGCACTACAGAAAAGTTACTTAAGGGGCGCCTGGGTGGCTCAGGTCATGATCTCAGGGTCCTGGGATCAACCCTCACTCGGGTTCTCTGCTCAGTGGGGAGCCTGCTTCCCCCTCTCTCTCTGCCTGCCTCTCTGCCTACTTGTGATCTCTCTATATATATCTCTCTCTGTGTGTCAGATAAATAAAATCTTAAAAAAAAAAAAGAAGTATTTTGGGCGTGGCTGGTTGGCTCAGCTGGTTGAGCATGTGGCTCTTGATGTCAGCTCCAATCATGATCTTGGGGTCCTGGGATGGAGGCCTGTGTCACTGGGGAGTCTGCTTATCTCTCTCCCTCTGCCCCTCCTCCTGCTTACATGCTGTCTCTCTCTCAAATAAATAAAACAAGTATTGAAGAATTTTTCTCTAATTTTGCTCCAGAATTTGTCAAATAAGAAGCAAGCTCTGGGTGGTGCCTGGGTGGCTCAGTCTTTAAAAGTCTGCCTTTGGCCTGGGTCATGATCCCAGGGTCCTGGGATCAAGCCACACACTGGGCTCCCTGCTCAGTGGGGAGCCACCTTCTCCCTCTCCTGTTCCCCCTGCTTGTGTTCCCTTTCTCACTGTCTCTCCCTCTGTCAAATAAAAACTAAAAAAAAAAAAAAAAAAAAGCAGCAAGCTCCAGGGTACCTAACTAGCTTAAACAGCAGAGCATGCAACTCTTGATCTTGGGATCGTGAGTTCAAGCCCCATATTGGGTGTAAAGATTACTTAAAAAATAAATAAGTAAAGTCTTAAAAAAAGAAGCAGCAGCAGCAGCAGCAGCAGCAGCAAGCTCTGTACTGTATAGCATTCAGAAACTTGAACAATTTGGCAGGTCATTCAGAAGTCTGACATGAGACACTTAGTGTGAGGTAACAGTCACATCTGTGCCTTTAGCTCATATGTACCAGTTAAGACTAATAGCTAGTTAGCATCTAGCTCAGAGATGCAGGTTGTCTTAGATATGCCCCAAAAGCCTATTCTGGGCCAAAATAGTCTGATTATATATGGTTCTTCTCTGCCCTAAAGAATCCTTGAGAAATGAGAAGTACTTAGAGTATACTAACTTGCTCTTAGAGCTGATCTGAGTTTCTGGTATGGCTGTGAGAATAGTAAAACCACTAGCTTTCATTATATCTCCTTTATGTTCTTCTAGTCTTCTAGGTTTATGCCAGTCAAAGGGGACAAGTTGAATATGTAAGTCTATAAATAGACTTTGGAGAGGGGTTAAAATAATGAATTAGCTAATTATTTCTTATTATTTTTAAGTAATCTCTATACCCTTAGCCAATTATTTTTGAGCAAAAATTCTGAAAAGCTCAACATTGTTTTTAAATATGGTTCAAGTTTGCTCCTATATATCTTCCCATAATGAACTTTATGCTACTTCTCTTTTGACATGTTCCTTGGGCCTTCTTTCAGGATCTTTCTCTATATAGAGATTATTTCTAGCTTACTCCAAAATGTCAGAGAATTGCTTATTGTTCCCGAGACCATTAGGCTTCTTGATTAGACTCCATATGAACATGTTAGCACATCTTTCTGTATTTATTTTTCAGACTTCCATAGTACAAGAAGCAGGAATTGAGAATTTTTCCAGTTTTTTCCCTTTAACACAGTGTACTCGCTTCCTATTGCTGTTGTAACAAATCACCACAAATTTAGTAGCTTAAGACAACATAAGTTTACTCTTTTACAGTTCTGGAGGTCAACTCTCTGCAATCATTCTCACTGCGCTAACACGAAGGTGTCAGCAGGGCTCCTTTCTTATGGAGGCCCTCAGGGAAGTCTGTTTCTCTGCCTTTTCAGCTGTCACTGTATTCTTTGGCTTGTGGCTCCTGCCATCTTCAAAATGTGCCACTGTTTGCAGTCACAAACTGGTAGTCACTTGGTGGGCTGGACCAAGAAAGCACACATAAACCCAGTGACATTTGGCTCTGGCCAGCAACTAGAGGGAGATACATAGCTGTATAAGTATATAGAATTCTATTTTATTTTAGTTGAGTTTTGGCAAAACAGAAATGAGAAAAGCATTTTAAATTTCTGCTTACAAGCCTGTTGGTCTTTGCTCAGTGACAGTGGAGTGGGGGGTGGTAGGTTAAGAAGGAGCGGTTATTGATGGCTAAAGGAAGCAAGAAGTTGGGAGAACTTCGAGCTTTGCATGGAAGTGAGGAAAGCTGGCACAAACGTTTTCTAGAGTACCGACTTTTTTACTGAAACTTTTTAACTGATCCCAGTAAGAGAGGATTGCCCACTGATTGCCCTGAAGCCTAAGTGTTGTGACAGCACATTTGTTTTTTAATAATACTATGATATTAGCGTAGAGAAGTGTGAATAGATATGCAAGAGAGCAAGTAAGAGAAAAATTGTATTCATATTTAGAGAATGACATAATTTTCTTTTTTTTTTTCTGGGAGAGAATCCCCTAAAAAAAACCTCTCTAAGTTTTAGAAAAGATATTCAGTTGATTCTGAATTGTTTGTTTTCAAATAAAGAATTTGTTCTTCTGTTTGTTAGAAAAAAAACAAAAATGCACCACTACAGTCTCTGCTTCCAATGCCCCATCACCTCCAGTGACTTGTAGCCAAATCTTCCTGTGCCTCCCTCTTGTTTAGGGACATTTAGGATCCACCCAGATAATTCAAGATAATCTTTCTATCTCAAGAGTCTTAATCACTCCTGCAAAGTCTGTTTGCTATATAAAATAACGTTGATAGGTTCCAGGGGTTAGGGTGTGGATATCTCTGTGGACCACTATTTAGCCTACCACACAATTTTTAAAACAAATTTTTTTAAATTAACATATAATGTATTATTAGCCCCAGGGGTACAGGTCTGTGAGTCGCCAGGTTTACATACGTCACAGCACATACCTTCCCCAATGTCCATAACCCCACCACCCTCTCCCTACCCCTCTCCCCCTGGCAACCCTCAGTTTGTTTTGTGAGATTAAGAGTCTCTTATGGTCTGTCTCCCTCCCAATCCCATCTTGTTTCATTTATTCTTTTCCTATCCCCCCAAACCCCCCACATTGCTTCTCAATTTCCTCATATCAGGGAGATCATATGATAATTGTCTTTCTCTGATTGATTTATTTTGCTAAGCATAATACCCTCTAGTTCCATCCACGTCGTCGCAAATGGCAAGATTTCGTTTCTTTTGATGGCTGCATAGTATTCCATTGTATATATATACCATATCTTCTTTATCCATTCATCTGTTGATGGACATCTAGGTTCTTTCCATAGTTTGGCTATTGTGGACATTGCTGCTATAAACATTCGGGTACATGTGCCCCTTCGGATCACTACATTTGTATCTTTAGGGTAAATACCCAGTAGCGCAATTGCTGGGTCATTGGGTAGCTCTATTTTCAACTTTTTGAGGAACCTCCATGCTGTTTTCCAGAGTGGTTGCACCAGCTTGCGTTCCCACCAACAGTGTAGGAGGGTTCCCCTTTCTCCGCATCCTCACCAGCATCTGTCATTTCCTGATTTGTTAATTTTAGCCATTCTGACTGGTGTGAGGTGTTATCTCATTGTGGTTTTGATTTGTATTTCCCTGATGCCAAGTGATGTACCACACAATTTTTTAAAGATTCATGTATTAGAGAGAGCAAGCGAGCACATATGCAAGCATTGGGGAGAGGCAGAGGGAGAAAGAGAAGCAGATTCCCCACAGAGCAGGGAGCTGCATGTGGGGCTGATCCCAGGAACTTGAGATCATGACCTGAGCTGAAGGCAGATGCTTAACCAACTGAGCCACCCAGGCGCCCCAAGATCTTATTATTTTTGAGTCATCTCTTCACCCAACATGGGACTCAAACTCACAACACTGAGATTAAGAGTTGCATGCTCTACCAACTAAGCCAGCCTGGTGCCTCTCCAATTCTTTTTTTTTTTCCTCCCAATTCTTAATTGTATTAGCTTTCCTTGCCAAAATTTTGCCAGAGTTGCTGATAAGTAATACAAACAATTCTCAAATTTATCTTCCTTTCCCCATTGCCTAAAGGTACTAAGGAGTAATAGATAATCATAAGGCAGGCAAACAAAAGGAGTGGAAAAGAAGGTGGATGAGGATACTTTAAAGTTGGGTGATCATTTTTTTTTCTTTCCTAATTTTTCAGAATTAGTTGACTGAACAATTTTTCTGATGACATTTTCTGTCATGTGGGTCCTTAGGGAGATTGGTATTTAAAGACATTTTTCTAAATATATTTCTGCCATGAGATAGCTGTCTATGTAATCTATAGACAGGTTTTTGTTTTGTTTTATATTTTTATGCCACAGGTAGCAGATGTCCTTCAATTTTCCATGGAAACAGGTGGCTTTCTTCCAAACTGCATCAGTTCTTTACAGGAGAGTTTAATCAGACACCTTAAGGTAGCCCCTAAATATCTCTCCTTTCTGGAAGAAAGACAGAAATTGATTCAGGTGAGTATTGAAGCATGTCCCATATGACATTAATTTTTCCAAGGGTTTTGTGAGTGGGATCATCAGCATATTACATAGACAAGTGGCAGCAGCTGTGTAAGCATATGAGCATTGCCAAAATTTTAGTTGTTTCAAATGGGAAGTTTGAGATTCCAAGTTGATAAAAGCCAGGATTCAGATTTGTTAGTTATCAGAAAGTACTCTGAAATAAATTTACAGTCCTCCAGGGAAGGTTTTTGTTGGGAATGTTGTTTAAGGTGATGGAACAAAACCATCCCAATTATTTCTTTCAAAGTAGAATAAATTTTCCTTAGCTCCTACTAGCCTCACCTGCACATTTGGATCATGACCATATTGTTTGTAGTTTTGGTCCTGTAATTAAATCTACTCTCTTCAGTTTTGAATGAGAAGCCCTGATTGATTGATCGATGGATTGATCTTTCTCTCTCTCTCCCACAGTCCCTCCCTGTCACCCCATCTTTTCCCTCTACATAAACACACTTAATATATATATACATAAGGGGGTGTGTTTGTGTGTATTTTCAGAAATACACTGTCATTGAAGAAAATAATGGTAATAGTGTTTTAAGTTAAGCGACCCTTAGATCAACGGTTATCTTTAAAGTTTTGCTTATTATTCAGGGAAAATTGTCTGGGTATCTCTAGGAAAATCCAGAAGTGTGGTTCACACGACCTCTTTCACCCTCCTTACTGAAAATTTTGGCCCTGGAAGCTACCTATCTACTACCCCTTCGTCTGGTACTCCTGGATGAGATGATGTCTGACCTAACCACCCTTGTGGATGGGTACCTGAACACTTACCGAGAAGGGTCTGCAGACCGCCTGGGGGGCACAGAGGTAGGTGTGGCAATCCGAGACTGTGTTTTTAGCACTTCCATTCTTGCCCCATTGCTCATGGAGGGCACAGTGATACCCGCTCTTCCCAGTTTTGGGAAACCACAAGGCTGACTTGGTCATAAACATTTTTTTTAAAGATTTATTTACTTATTTATTTGACAAAGATCACAAGTAGGCAGAGAGGCAGACAGAGAGAAAGGGGGAAGCAGTTTCCCTGCTGAGCAGAGATCCCGATACAGGGCTTGATCCCAGGACCCTGAGACCATGACCTGAGCTGAAGGCAGAGGTTTAACCCACTGAGCCACCCAGGCACCCCAGTCATAAACCTTTAAAGGAGCTATAGCTTGGGCTCCATTCATCTCCTTAAGTACGTCTTTGCAGTATTAAGTTATACTTTGTCAAAGAATGGACAAATTTGAGATTTCATTACCAATGTGTAAGAAGCCAGCACAATGTAACGGAACTATAGACTTGGAGTTGGCAAACTATTGCCCTAAGGCCACATCTGGCCCACAGCCTGCTTTTGTGCCTCTCATAAGGTCAGAAAGAAGGCTTTTTATGGTAGGCAACAGAGATCATTTGTGGCTAAAATAGTTGCTGTTTGGCCCCTTACATAAAAAGATTGCCGTCTAGGGGCACCTGGCTGACTCAGTCAGTGGAGCATGTGACTCTTGGTCTTAGGGTCATGAGTTTGAGCCCCGTGTTGGGTGTAGAGATTGCTTAAAGGTAAAGTTTAAAAAACAACAAAAAAGTTGCATCTGCTGCTATTGCTGCTAATAGCCATTCTTACTTAGGAATACTGAAGCAAAATCCTAAATAAAATAATAACATTTTTTTATATGATCCCTGCTTTGATGTATTATACTTCTCTTTAATGTGTTGCAGATTTCTGCTTGCAAGCATCATACAGTGTTAGGAAATTCTCCATTTTCCTAGAACAAAGAAAGTCTTATGATTATCTCATATACGCTGAAAAGAATGTAACCTTTCTGTATTTTGCTCTCACTGTTTAGCAAAAAAAGAGCAACATAAAAATCCTTATATACCCTGTTCAGTTGGAGAATTTAAATATCTTTCATTTATCATTGTAAAACCAAGGAGTTTTATAACTTTTAGTAATTTGTTTTCATTTTTTAAGGCTGAAAAGATGTGATAATATTCTATATACATTACTGATTAAAGTTGGAATACAGGATAAAACATATCTTAAACAGGAAGTCTACATAATGTTTGATTTGGAACACTGAAAGCATTCCCATTAGTATCATGAAAATACAAAAATTGGGGCGCCTGGGTGGCTCAGTGGGTTAAAGCCTCTGCCTTCGGCTCAGGTCATGATCTCAGGGTCTTGGGATCAAACCCCGCATTGGGCTCTCTGATCCAGGGAACCTACTTGCCCCTCTCTCTCTCTCTCTGCGTGCCTCTCTGCCTATTTGTGATCTCTGTCTGTCAAATAAATACATAAAATTTTAAAAAAATACAAAAATTGTGACTACCGCCACCACCTTAACATTTTTTGAAGCTATTAGCCAATGAAAAAAAATTTTTTAAAGATTTTAATTATTTGTCAGAGGGAAGAGCACAAGCAGAGCAATCTGCTGGCAGGGGAGAAGCAGGCTCCCTGCTGGGTGAGGAGTCTGATGCAGGACTCATCCCGGGACCCTGGGATCATGACCAGAGGCCAAGTCAGCCAATTAACTGACTGAGCCACCCAGGCATCCCGCAAATGAAATTCGAAGAAAAAAAAAGACAAACTATAAAAAATGAATAGGAGGAATCAAAATTATGACTTGCCGATGATACAAATGAAAATGTAGAAAATCAGTGGAAAAAGATTACTACAAACAAAAGAACAGTTTCATAAAATGGGTGCAAATATAAAATGACAATTGATAGTTTTTTTGCATCTGTATATACAGCAAAAAATATATAATGGAAGAAATACCCATTTATAATTGTAACAAAAAGATAGATTACCTAGAAATAAATCTTATAAGAAATGTGAAATATAAAGGAAACATTAAAATATCACTGAATGGCATAAAAGCAGACTTAAATGAATGGGGATGCTAAGCATTTTTAGCTATCAATTACTCTTGAATTAACTTCTGAATTTGCCTCTATTCCAAGAAAAATACTACCACCAGCATTGTTTTGGCAAACTGTGAGTATAGTGCTTATAAAGATAAATACATATAAATAAGACTTGTCCTGTCAGATATTAAGTCATATAAGTCTACATTAAATAGAAATCATTTGGGGGCACCTGGATGGCTCAGTTGGTAGAGCATGACTCTCATGATCTCAGGGTTGTAAATTTGAGGCCCATGTTGGGTGCTGAGATTAGTTAAAAACAACAACAACAACAACGTTTTGTGACTGGTACATGTGTAGGCAGATCAATGGAACATAGTAGAGAACCCAGCAAAAGATCCAGTATCTATCTGCCAGTATGGGGGCACCTGGGTGGCTCAGTCAGTTTAGCATGTGCCTCTGGCTCAGGTCATGATCCAAGGGTCCTGATATCAAGCCTTGGGCTTGCTGCTCAGCAGGGAGTCTGCTTCTCCCTCTTCCTCTGCCCACCTCTTGCCAGTTCTCTCTCTCTCAAATAAATGAGTAAGATCTTTAAAATTTCTGCCAGTATCATTGGGATAAAGGTAGAATTTCCAATTAATGAGAAAAAGATAATCAATAAAAGGCTTTAGGTAATTGACTAAGCATTGTATGGGAAGAGAGTCAAAGTTGGATTACCAAAATAAATTCCTTGGATCAAGTATTTATGTAAACAATAGGATTATAAAATTATTAGAAAAAACAAAAGAAAATTATTTCACAGTGAGGAATGCTTTTCTTCCGGCCTCCCAAGTTCATTGAAGAATAATTGACAAAATTAATTGTATATAAACATACATTGTGATGATTTGATATACATATACATTGTGAAATGATTATCAAGACTAAGATAAGTAATGTATCCATCAACTCATATAATTAACTCTGTGTGGTAAATATGCTAAAGATCTGCTCTTAGCAATTTTCAAGTATACAGTACGTTATTATAGTAAACGTGCAGTGCATTAGATCCTCAGAATTTATTTATGTTTTTACAGTTTTTTCCCTTGTAGTTGAAAATTTGTACCCTTTAACCTCCATCTCCCCCTTTTCTTCTCCCCCCAGCTGCTGGCAACCTCCATTCTATACTGTTCCTATGAAATTAGCTTTTTTTTTAAAGATTTCACATATAAGTGATACCATACAATATTTGTCTTTCTCTGTCTGGTTTATTTCACTTACCATAATGCCCTTTAAGTGCATCCATGTCACAAATGGCAGCATTTTCTTCCTTTTTAATGGCTAAATAATATTCCTGTGTGTGTGTGTGTGTGTGTGTGTGTGTGTGTGTGTGTGTGACATCTTTTTTATCCATTCATCCATTTATGTAAATAGGTAATTTCCATATCTTAGCTATTGTGAGTAATGCTACAGTGTAAAGGGAGTGCAGATATCTCTTAAAGATAGTGATTTCACTTCCTTTTGTACATATACCCAAATATGAAATTGCTGGACTGCATGGTAGTTCTATTTTTATTTTTATTTTTTTAAGATTTTATTTATTTGACAGACAGAGATCACAAGTAGGCAGAGAGGCAGGCAGAGAGAGGAGGAAGCAGGCTCCGTGCGGAGCAGAGAGCCCGATACAGGGCTCAATCCCAGGACCCTCGATCCCAAAACCCTGGGATCATAACCTGAGCTGAAGGCAGAGGCCTTAACTCACTGAGCCACCCAGGCGCCCCACATTTTCTTAATATATTCTTTATGGTAGCATTTATGTAATGACAGAATACTGGAAACAACCAAATATCCATCCATATGGATTTTAGTTAAATTATGGCATATCCATACAGCCCTTAAAAATGCTGATAGGGAAAAATCTCCAAGACAAATATTTTATTTTATTATTTTTTAAAAAGATTTTATTTATTTATTTGACAGACAGAGATCACAGGTAGGCAGAGAGGCAGGCAGAGAGAGAGGAAGGGAAACAGGCTCCCCACTGAGCAGAGAGCCCGATGCGGGGCTCGATCCCAGGATGCTGGGATCAAGTCCCTCATTGGGATCCTTGCTCAGCAGGGAGCCTGCTTCTCTCTCTGCCTCTGCCTGCCACTTTGCCTGCTTATGCTCACATTCTCTCTTTCTCTCTGACTAAACTTTTTTTTTTTTTTTAAGATTTTATTTATTGGGACACCTGGGTGGCTCAGTTGGTTAAGCGGCTGCCTTCAGCTCAGGTCATGATCCCAGCGTCCTGGGATCGAGTCCCACATCAGGTTCCTTGCTGGTCAGGGAGCCTGCTTCTCCCTCTGCCTCTGCCTGCCACTCTGTATGCCTGTGTTCACTCTCTCTCTCTCTCTGACAAATAAATAAATAAAATCTTAAAAAAAATATTTTATTTATTTATTTAACAGAGATCTCAAGTAGGCAGAGAGGCAGGCAGAGAGAGAGGAAGAAGCAGACTCCCTGCTGAGCAGAGAGCCCGATTCGGGGCTCCATCCCAGGACCCTGGGATCATGACTCAAGCCAAAGGCAGAGGCTTTAACCCACTGAGACACCCAGGCGCCCCTCTCTGACTAAATAAATAAATAAATAAATAAATAAAACCTTTAAAAAATTCTCTTAAAAAAAATCAAGATGCAGAAGAATATATATAATACTATGATACCATTTGTGTAAAATAATATTTAGGAAGAGTTATCAAAATAAAAGGTTGGGGGGAAACTAAAATCGAAAAACGCGGTGCAATGAAGAAATGAAAATGAATGCATTTAGTAACAGATATATATACACAAACATAATCACAGATGCATAGACTGTATCTTTGGGAGGCTACATGAGAAGATGCACTTGCTAAGGGGACTGGGAACAGGTTGGGCAGGACACTTATTTTTCATCATTAATCTTTACACATGCACATACACATACACAACACACATGCACAACACACACATGAAATGGATTCAAAGTATTTAACTTAATCAGAAATAGTACTACCATAGTTGAATACACTAGAGGGAGCCATAAGAACACATTTGAATTGATGCTCCCTTGCCAAATACTGTTAAGTATAGCTGAAGTGATTTTAAGGACCATATTCAGAAGTTTCGTTAGAATGGACTTATTTTCCTGTTCTTTTCTTAGCCTACATGTATGGAGCTTCCAGAAGAACTGCTTCAACTCAAGGACTTCCAGAAGCAGCGCAGAGAGAGAGCTGCAAGAGAATATAGGGTGAATGCACAGGGACTCCTAATAAGGACAGGGATATGTCCAAAGAAATCAGTGACAGAGACAGTGGGGAAAGAGGGGAAAGGGGGGGTTTCATTGCTTTGTAAGAACTCTACGCCAGATAAAACTCCAGGTTTTACATCTCATCAGGATGGAAATTTGCTGATAGAAAAATCTAAAAATAAACAAACTCTGACAGAATCTCAACATCAACCTCCCATGAAGGAAGAAACCAGTGAGGATGGTGTCAACAAACTCATTTGCCCTGAGCCAGAGGGGCTAGAGGACCAGGGGAGAATAATTCAAAAAGAACACGGTAAGATACCCAAACAGGAATTTCAGACAAGTTTATTTTTGAAAGAGGAGATAGAACAGTTACTGATGCTGGAAAACAAGGAAGACCTAAAATGCACAAAACAAGATGTTTCAGTGTCTCCTTCCCTTCCTCAGGAAACCAGAGTGTCTCCAAGTGACACCTTTCATCCTTTTAGAAAGGCTGTGCTTCCCACACTTCCTCCCTGTCCAGCCTTGGAGAAAACCGATTCTTGGATTAATCTCTCTCCAAATTTATCTTAGAGATGTGCAGTTTATTCTTGAGACCGTGAAGGTGGCTCATTTCCTGTGCCAGAAGGACTTTCCTCAGTGCTTAAGTTGGTCATGTTGTAAATTTAGGATTGCCTCAGTCACAGAGGAAGACTTCAGCAAAAATTATATCCTCTTGCTTACTCCTGCATGCCTAGAATTTGGTTAGGAGGGAATGAATAAGTTAAATAATGGAAGAAGTAAATGTTTTGATTATGTCACTGTGCAGAAATGTTCCCAGTGTTTCAGAGTGAATGATTTCTCATAATTTGAAGAGGGGAAAAATCTTAGGCTTAGTACCTGGAAGAATCTTTACTCTTAAACTCTTTTTTTTTTTTTTTTTTTTTAACGTAAGCCCTATGTCCAAAGTGCAGCTTGAACTCACAATCCCAAGTTTAAGAGTTGTATGCTCTACCAACTGAGCCAGCCAGACGCTCCTACTTTTAAACTTCTGTTGTATTTTTTGGTTTGAAAGGGGTTGGTAAAAGTTGTATCAATAAGTTTTAAAAAATTGGTACCTGATAACTTTACCAGTACATTTTTCTTTTTTAAAATACTAACTCTAACTTGTCAATTATGCCTCAAAAAAGCTAAAAAAAAAAAAAAATACGGACTTTAGTTTTGAATTTTTAATGTTTTTTCTGTCTTATATCATAGATAAACACAAATTAATGTTACTAAGGAATCAACATCCCAGTTTTAATTTCTTTTGATTCCTTTACTTTTAGAAAGTTTTGTCTATTTTCGTAACAAAGTAGGGACTTCTTTTGAGTACATCTGTTATGTAAACTTGAAGTTTGAGTCCCTCTATTTTCCTGGAGTTTGTATACTTTCTTTTGTTATTTTGTTTAAAAATTTTTTTAAAAAATTTTTTGTAGGTTCCACACCCAGTGTGGGGCTTGAACTTAAAAACCTGAGGTTGAGTTGCCTTCTGTACTGACTGAGCCGAGCCAGCCAGGTGCCCCAGTTTGGTACTCTTTCTTAGGGTGGAAGGAAGGTGGCTTGTACTGAAACCTTTTTATATTGAGTACTTGCAAGTTGCTCACATTTTTTTTGTGTACAATAACTAATAAACCTGTTGTGCCATTGGATTTTTTTCTTCATTCGGTCACAGTAGGAATAAGATAGAATATGTCTGGATTTCTAGGTCTGGAGTCCAGTGTAAAAAACCTGTTGAATCTCATACAGGACTAATTTATTATGCTTATGGGAAACTTAGAGACAGCCTATAAGGAGGAACATCCTTGTCTGCACTTGCTGATTCTGAGTGCCACCAGAAAAATAGCTGTGCCCTTCCAAACTCCAGAATGCAGATCTAGTCTAAACTAAAGATGAAGGCAGGTCCAAGAGCATCAGCTCGTCCCTGCAGTTCCAGTGTCTCACTTGTCCTTCGTTGAGAAGGTCACTTTGGGTCAAGGTGGTTTCTGGTTCATCTTGGGTGAATACATCTTCAGGTTGAGCCCAGAATGTGGTTAATCCAGGTTTACTCTGGAAAGTGCATGAATTCTTGTAAAATTTCTAGAGCGGATTTAACTTCCTATGGAACCATTAAATTGCCACACGCAACATATATACATAAAGGCTACAAAGAAAAACAAAACACTCTTCATATCAAAAGAAGAAGTCTTGTTTCATTAGGTATGTTTGACTATATTTGAGAAGAACCGGGGTGTCTGGATGGCTCAGTCAGTTAAGCAACTGACTCTTGATCTCAGCTCAGGTTGTCATCTCACAGTCATGAGTTCAAGCCTCATGTTGAGCTCCACACTGAGCATGGAGCCTACTTTAAAACAAAAAAAGGCATAAAAAAAAGAAATAAAAACCAATGGACTCTGTTAGGCCTTTGCTGTGCTGCTCAATTTGATAGCCACTAGTCGTATGTGTGGCTATTTAAATTTAAAATTAAATTAATTAAATTTAGAAGTTCAGTTCCTCATTTGCACTTGCCATATTTCGAGTACTCAATAGTCCCGGAGACTATAGTGTATTGAATGTCACAGGTGAAGAACATTTCCATTGTTTGAGAAGTTCTTTTGGACAGTGCTAGTTGAGAGGTACTTTGACTCCCAGAACTAAATGACCTTTTTGGGCGTCATCACAGTATTTTCTTGGTGAAACTCATACCTGGGACTGGACTGTTCTCCATATCCTCATTCTAGTCTGGAATGCCAACCTAAACCCCATATGGGCACCCAGCTCCTACCATGAAGTTCTGCTTGAGCTAGAGTAAAAAAATCCCTGCATTGTTAAGCCTTGTTGCTAGTCCTCTGTGCCTTTACTCAGACTTCTTGTCTAAATTTTGCCCAGAATTTGGGGAAATCCTAGGTTCTTATCCCACTCCACCACTGAGTTCTTTACTTTGTATTTTCTAGTTGAGAGTTAATAAACCACACTACTTGGTTTCCCAAATTCTTGGGGTCTTATTTTAGTCTACACTAATTTCATGCATCTCTTCTACTCAGGTCTGACTTCTGATATCACCTTTATGTACATGACCTACAATTAGAGCTTCTGACAAGCAATCTGGCCCTTTTACTTTGGGAATTAGGAAATGGAGTTAAATAACTTCCCTGGACAAAAATACAGAGAATAGAACCAGTGTTGTTTTTTGGTCCATTCAGTGTTCTTTCAACTTTATGATGAAGAGTCATTGCAGCAGCTTTGCCTCCAATCTGGCTGTGGGCTTGATAAACCCTAATAGGACACAATAGAATTTTAATGCCTTACAAACCTTTCATTCTTTTGACCCAAGGCAAGTCCCGGTAACAAGCTGAGATGAGGCCTGGGGCAAAGTAGGGGGCCTCCGGGTGATTAGTGAGGTATACTTATCATAAATGCAATTATTATAGTAGTAACACAAATAAATACCTTACAGGACATTTAGAGAATAAAGAGAAAAAAATAACTCTCATCCCATATTCTACAACCCTTCCCAGTATTTTGAGATTTTTCTTTCTCTCTCTCTCTCTTTTTTTTTTTAAGATTTTATTTATTTATTTGACAGACAGAGATCACAAGTAGGCAGAGAGGCAGGCAGAGAGAGGAGGAAGCAGGCTCCCTGCTGAGCAGAGAGTCCAATGCTCCATCCCAGGACCCTGGGTTCATGACCTGAGTCAAAAGCAGAGGCTTTGGGGCGCCTGGGTGGCTCAGTGGGTTAAGCCTCTGCCTTTGGCTCAGGTCATGATCTCAGGGTCCTGGGATCGAGCCCCGAATCAAGCCCCGAATGGAGCCCCACATCGGGCTCTTTGCTCAGCAGGGAGCCTGCTTCCCCCTCTCTCTAGACCTGCCTCTCTGCCTACTTGTGATCTCTCTCTCTCTGTCAAATAAATAAATAAGAATCTTTAAAAAAAAAAAAAAAAAAAAAGCAGAGGCTTTAACCCACTGAGCCACCCAGGTGCCCTGGCATTTTTCTTTAAATCTTTCATTTTTTTCTCTCTCTTCCTCTCTTTCTGTCCCAATCTCTCTCCTCCCCCCGCCACAATTGAAGCAGTCATATCCTAACATAAATATACTTAGTTTGCTTTTTATATCATGTATTTTTCCATTTCATTATCCTAACATTTTTAGTAGGTGTTAATTTTAAAACTTATATACTATTAAATAGAATTTAGAAAATACAGGGAAATAAGAAAAAAATTTACTCTTATTTCTCTAACTCAACAGAAAAAGCAGGTAACATTTTTATTAATTTCAGTGTTTATGCATAGGTTCCCTCCATATTGTTGTAATCATACATACATGAATATATTCTAGCCTATGAATGTTCTTCCATGCTGTTGCACAACCTTTTTAATGATTTTTTAAAAAGATTTTATTTATTTATTTGAGAGATCACAAGCAGGCAGAGAGGCAAGTGGTGGGGGTGGGGAGCAGGCTCCCTGCTGAGCAGAGAGCCTGATGCAGGGCTCCATCCCAGGACCCTGAGATCATGACCTGAGCTGAAGGCAGAGGTTTAACCCCCCTAAAGACACCCAGGTACCCCTTTTTAATGATTTTTAATGACTGTATAATTTTTTTTTTCAAAAAAAAGATTTATTCACTTTAGAGAGAGAGCCTGAGTGGGGGGAGGAGCAGAAGGAGAGAGAGAGAATCCCTAGCAGACTTCCCACTGAGTGCAGAGCCTGATGTGGGGCTTGATCTCGATCCCTGTAATCACGACCTGAGGCAAAACAAGAGCTGGACATGTAACTGATTGAGCCACCCAGGCACCCCAATGACTGTGTAATATTTCTAAGAGAATGATGGATGGTTTATTTAATTATAGTGTGGTACATTCAACTTGTTTCCATTTCCTTATTTTATGCTTTTTCAAAGCTATCTCAAACTTTTTCCATTTTTTGAATCATTATGTTAGACTGAAATTGCAGAAATAGAAACAGCAGGTCATACAGGTTTTCTTGTTTTTGCTATTACAAAAAATTTTTAAAGCTCTTGATAAGTTACTTTCCAAAAGAGTTAACCAATTATATTGCCACCTCCAATTTTTGTAGCAATGATGTATCATTGAGAGCATTAGATTTTTTTCTTGTGAGCCTTGGCATTCTTTTAAACTTTCAAAAATTCTAACCTCTTCATTTATATATGTGAAAGATTTTCTGTGATATTTTATAACTTACCTGCATTGGATATTATGAAGAGTAATGAGAACGTAAATACTGGGGACATTTGAAACCCAATAAATGTCCCTGATTTTTAAGTAAAGACAATATTATAGGTAAAATATTTAAATCATAGGAACTCTAAAATGAAATGAAAGTCTATATATTCATGATAAAATGATAAAATGTACCTTTGAAACATTCAGAGCTCTCTTTAAAGGGTATCATAGAAGGTGATGTTTACTGTTACATGAGATAAATATCTTAGTTACATTGGTAGGTTCACCCTAAGACAATCTGATACATTCTATTCCACATACTCTTGGGATTTGAGCCTGTGACTCTATAATTTATTGCACCTACTCAAACAGGAAGAGCTGTCAAACTGTAATCAAA